AAGCATTTGTTCGTTGCCTAATCTAAACAACTTCAACTTCTCCAACAATTTCTTCGTTCCGAACCTTCCAAATGCCTCCAGTTGCGAGCCAAAGATGATAGCAGAATTGATTCCTTATAGGCCATTGCAGAACCCACCCATGAACTGCAAGTCTTTCTATGCACATCCAATTCATTGTACTATTTCTGGCTGCTCACCGCTGCCACACCTGCATCACTCGCCATCAGGCCATTGACCAAATCAAAGCTCCGGTGTTTTTTTTCCCCCAATGTAATATGCTTCTTGAATAAACAAAAGTTTTGGCCAAAAAATAAAAATAATGAAAAGTTCAACCTTGTACATAAGCACGTCGAGGTGAGCTGCCTCTTTTTATTAATCACGTACTCATAGTCAACCATTGAGGTTGGGAGATAAGGAACAAATAAGTACCTAAATTCTGACATTTATTTTGTAGCTAATAATGTTTTAGGTAACGTTTTTCTTTAATTTTATATTAAGGAAGCCGTAGGTAGAAATACCTAAATTAAAAAGGATTTTGAATCAGTCTGTTTTTTTCAAAATATTAGACTTAGAACTAAAAATAATAATTCTTAACCTACTCTCCACCGCTGGTCTTGTGTTCCAATATTTCTACCGCAATTCTTTTTTTCTTAAAACTACATTACTTATTTAAATTTTAATTTTTAGTGTGATTTTAGCCAAAATACCATTAGTCATTTAATGTTTAGTTTGATTTTATTTTTAACTTCTAACTATTATTTTAATTTTTATTATTAAATTTTTGAATTCAGACTTATTTAAATCATTTGGCTGTTAATTATTTAAAGTATATTGATTTTTTAAAGTAATTTATCCCATAATTTAGAAGGGTTAACATACAAAATGCAGGGGAGAGCCAGAATTCTGATGAAAAAATGTAGGTCATCGAGCACTTCATGCCCATGAAGTTCTAATCAACAAATCTTTGCACCCATTTGGCTCATCAAACTAGAACCGATGTCGATTGCCACAGTCTACAACTAGAAGAATTTGCTGTTTCTACATCGAAGAATAATAATATAAAGTCTGAAGAAATTATATTCATATCATCTCCATGAACAAGATTCAAGTGACAACCAAATTCAAGAAAAATCATGAACAACGTCTTGGTGTTCAGCCAAATGTAGAATCATGGTTGGTTGGTTGAAATGGACAAATTGCAAATAGCACAAACAGCTTCCAGGTGCAGGGAAATTGTCATTCCTACTCACTTAATCAAAAACTGTCCAACCCGGTGATGAAATCTGAATCTTATAACCCATCCTCTGAGAAAGACTATGTTCATTCTGGCTCTTTCTCATTTGGCACCAATTCTTGAATCTTCTGTTTTGCTTCAGTCATATCCTCCTCCTCAAGTTTCTCTACCAGAATTCTACATATGGAATCCTTGGGTCTCATTCCCTTGAGCACCATTTCTTCAAAGAAGGCACAGGCTTGCTCAAGTTTCCCACTGTTACAAAGTCCACGGACCAAAAGAGTATAGGTGAACGATCTATACTGACATCGTTGTTTACCATGTGACTTAACAAGAAACTGAGTACCTTCATCCTCTTCTTCCTGCAGCACATTTTCAGTAAAGGTGCATAAGTTGAAATATCTGGCTTGCATGAATCCTCTTCCATCCTCTTAAGCAACTTCAAAGCTTTTTCTTCAAGTGAATGCCTACAAGCAGAGATATCATTGTATTGTATGTCAATGTATTTGGCTTAACACCTTGCTTTACCATGTCCACAAAGATTTCATCTGCATACTTAAACCTACTGCTTGCTTAGAATGAAAACTAAAGAGCTATAAAATGATGTATCAGGTAAACAACCATCATTCTTCATCATCTCATAAACATCCAATGCTTTCCCAACCTCACCTACCTTTCCTCTAGCATGCATAATGATAGTGTAACTCACAGCATTTGGCTTACACCCTTTCTCTTTCATTTCATCCAAAATAGCATATACATTGCGAAAATCCTTTTCGCGACAATATGCCTCAATGAAACAAGTATACGAGACAACACAAGGCTGAAAATCAGTTAACCATTTCATTCAAAATTCCTAGCATCAATTAGTCTCTAGCCTTACAGAATCCATGTACCAAAATGTTAAAACTACTAGAATTCAAAGGCATACATTCCTTAAACTCACCAAAAGCCTCATAAGCATACTCTACACCATCCCCTTTGACCAATGCATCGAACAATCCATTCAATGCCATAACATCTTTTTCAACCCCATATTCATCTACCCTTCTGAAAAACTCAATAGCCTCGCTAAACCGACGTGCATTAGCAAACCTCCTCATAACCTTGAGGATTGTATCCAAACTAATATACCCTTTTAACAGTTTCATTTCCTTAATCATATCTAACATCAAACCAAACAGTTTAGCCTTCCCTAACACATCAACCATGAGATTATACAACTCAGGAGTATGCCTATAACCTGATTGTGTTTTGCCCAAATGAAGATCCCATATGCTGAAATCCAACTATTAGAAAAACCGTTTCAACAATTGCTCAACTAAAACATGGGAAAACACTTAAATTAGAAGAATTCAAGACTTGGACGACTTTTTCAGGAGATGGGTACGGAATTTTTAGGATTTTTGTGAGTTTGTCGACCTGGGTTTCAGGTGTTTTTGACGGAAAGATTCTAACTTTGGGGTGGCTTTGGATCCAAGTGGCAAGTGATGGGATGACAAATTCGTCGTCCCCCAAGTGTTGAGTTCCTGGGTTTTGTTTACTGACCCAACTCGGGATTTCGGGTAACTCGGATGTGAGGGGTGAGTCAGGGGAATCTGATTGGTTAGTGGTGGTGGTGAAGAGAGCGGAGAAGCCACAGAGATTGAGATTCTTTGGGGATGGGAAGAGGAGACGAGGTTCAAGATTTGGTGCTTAGGAAGCATTTTGGATGGTGTTTATGGAAGAAGACGGTTCATGAAGACATGCGACTCCGGACTTGTTTTGTTCTTGGGTAGGTTTGACATTAACCTGGACTCACTTCTACAAACACGCATCAACCTTCCATTCAATTGAAAAATGCTTTTCTCAAAAATCAATATTGGAAATCATTTAACTACAACAATCAACCTTTTTTTATTGTTATTATATTGACTTGGATATTAAATTTGTTAATGTATTTATATGTATGTTAATCTGTAGTTCACCTAAAAGTTGGGTGACTAAAACATTAATTGTTGCTAGGGGTTAACACTTGGGTACCAAATTGATAAATTTCTTTAATGATTATGACTAATTTGAAAGTATTTGAATTTAAGTGATCAAACCGTTAATACGCTAAAAGTTGAGGATCGTTTGAGTAGTATAATTCTTATGATAGATCTCACATGACATATTTCTGTTGTTCTTTTTAATTATATAAAATTTAGGGTGCAAAATCAAAGAAGGACTATACTTAAAAAGCAAATTGCGGATTAAACCTTGAAAAATAAAAAGTTGCAATTTAAAGAAAAAATGGTCAATATTCGAAATTCCATGTGCTCACTTTCCTAGTAACCAAGCAGGTCATCAGTAAAAATCAAGAGCTAAAAGGACTAGTTAGTTAGGGTTTATCCAACGAAACTTCAGCCTACCCTTTCCTTTTTTCACTCACTCCCTGTAACAAGAGAGATTTCGGGTAAGAATATTTCAATTTTCCTGGGTTTAAAACCCTGCGTTGAAATCTTGGTCTTCTATTTCGTTTCTTCTTTCAATTTCATTGGGTATTTTTGTTCTTCTTTCTATCTGGGGTTGCTTCGGATTTGATTATCTTGGGGGGTATTTGTTTTGTTTCAGGAAGGCTGCTGTATGAACCTCATGAAGAGGACATTGCCATGGGGTGATCAGGTTGATGTAATTTCATCAGATGAATCTTCTCTTCATCGTCTCTTCTTTAGATGTCGATTTTCCGGTCAATGATGGAACCACAAATGTCGCAGTTGATCAACTCCAAAAGAATTATCCTCTGAAGGTAATTTGTTATATGGGTTTCAATTCTTCTTCCATTTGATTGACGCCTACAACTAATTGTAAGTGTAATCTCTTTCATTCCCCTTTTAGAATCTGACCTTTTGTGATATGGGAGTTTATACCCAATTTCATCTTCTATTCATCAAAGAATAGTTTTTTATGGAAACCGCTTTCTTTATGATACATTTCGTTATTGTAATATCTGTGTTGCATTCAATCAGGTTTGTTGATCAGAAAGGCTGAAATTTATCAGGAATATGAAGCGATTGCCAATCCCGACACACCGGGGCTCCATCATTCCGTTTACCACATGGATGGGATTAGGCAGATCCATCAAACAATTATATGGGCAACCCTTGCATTACCTCACTAATATTCTCCTAAAACAGTGGGATCATTTAAGAATCGGCAGTGAGGATGAGCATAGGCCCTTGGACATTGTTGTCCATCCTTCCAAAGCTGAAGCCACCATCTGGCTCGTTGAAGAACTTCATCGGCGTACCTCATCTCATCATCACATAGCCAAACTGTGGCAGTCAGATCCAATGTGCCATGCTTTTATTGATTCCATTTTCCCGCAATTGTGAAGTGCATGCAGAAGGTCCATAAGTTTTCACATACCCCATGTCTGATTCTGGGGCAAATTGTTCTAATGACTCAACAAAAGCGATGGTTCTGAAGTAGTAGGAGAGTTTTGAAACATGAGCATCTTCCTTCCTTTTCGTCCGGTAAAATGTTTGTTAGTTGTTAATGTAAGTTCAGATTAGATGAAATCAATTCAGGATGAAAAAGGTTTGCACAAGTTAGTTTTGTTTCATTTTGTCCATGCATGTCTGTAGTTATGAACTACATAGCCTACATTGCATAAACCTTTGGAAACATTGTAGTCTGGATGTCGAGCTTGCTAATGTCTTGTATGTATTTATGGAAGATGATTATGAAGTTCATTTTAGGTGTAATCGTATATCAATGAAATGATCATTACACGAGGAATTTACACTCAGTAAGGTTGCAAGTTGGTATCACCAATAATCATTACAAGAACAGAGTCCTTTATGAAAGAAATGAAATCTATTGTTATCTCGGATTATGATCTCTCTGTCATATGTTCTCGATACCAATTTTGCAAATGAATGACAGTCAGAGCAGATTCGGAGATTCTTAACGACCCGAAGTGGCATTCCCTGGTTGGTACTGATTAGCCCAAACGCCATTGCTAGTTTTTCACTATGTCTACCAAGTAAAGATTCTTTCTCTGCATCAACATTAAGTAGAACATTACTAAGATCTGGAGCATGGCCAGCAGCTTTCACTCTGCAGTGCATTTCATCCAGCATTAGTTCTACGTGAACCATTTCTGGATGTGATTCATCACCCGAAGTGAACTCGTGAATTTCTCCATTTATTTCTATCGAGCTAGATCCGGGAACTTTTCGAGCCCCCTTCTCCTTCAACTGTAACCTTACCTTTGCAACATCGGTCCATTTCCCAGCAGAGGCATATATGTTAGATAGAAGCACCTGGATACCAGTTCTATCAGAAGCCAATTCTTTGATCCTTTCAGCTACATATCCTGCCATATCAACATTTCTGTGCATCCTGCATGCAGCTAATAGAGACCCCCAAATTACATCATTAGGCTCCATCGGCATGTTTTTTATTAGATCTAGAGCTTCTTCCAACAATCCAGCACGGCCTAGCAAATCAACCACACAGCCATAGTGCACAATTTGGGGAGAGATTTTGTGGACCGACTTCATTGACTGGAAAAGATCTTGTCCTTCTTTGACTAGCCCTCCATGACTGCATGCTGTTAACAACCCCACGAATACTACTCCATCAGGCTTGACTCCTTGCCTGAGCATCTTGTTGAAAATCTTAATAGCTTGATTGCCGTTTCCCTCCATAGCCATTGCTCCAATGGCAGCACTCCAAGCCGACACATCTTTTTTCCCCATTTTATTGAAGATCTTCATTGCAGTCGAAGTATCACCACACTAGCAAACATATAGACTAAAGCTGTACTTAAACGGATGTCAAATGGAATATTGTTCTTTTTATGTAAGCATGAATCCACTTAGCAAGATCAAGTGCTCCTAGGTATCCGCAGGCAGATGCAATACTCACCATGGTCACTCTATCTGCTTTTATGCCACAATTTTGCATTGTTCGGAAAAGTTGAATGGCTTCTTTTAACATGCTCTCTTGTACCAAAGCACTAATTATGGTGTTCCAAGACACAATATCACTCTCTGGCATACTATTGAGATTTCCCAGGCTGAACTAACATCGCCATTTCTAATATAACCTGCAATTAACGAATTCCACGACACAACGGTCTTGTTAGCCATGCGATAGAAAACGGCACATGCCACTTCCTGTTTACCACACTTCATATACATGTCTATTAGAGCATTCGAAATACTATCCCAACCTTCAAGTCCATTCCTCAAAACATAACCATGACAACATTTTCCCCACAAAATGTTGCCTAATTGCGCAGATGCTGAGATTGTAGATAGTATAGTAACCCTATCAGGCACCATCCTCTCTCAACATTTCATCTAAGATAGCAAGTGCTTCCCTCGCCATCTTGCACATAATTTGACATTATTGTGTTGCAAAGAACCAAGTTTTTCTCTTCAGATTCGTCGAACAGCCGTTTCGCAGTTTCAAAATCACCGCATTTCATATACATATCAACAAGGGAATTCACCATTAAAGTATTGATTTTCACTCCCAACTTACTAATATATTCACACACTCTCTCGCCCAATTCAAGATTCTTCAACTTTGCACAGGCGGAAATTACACAAACCATCGTAACTGAATTCGGCATAGTACGTTCCTCCACCATCTCGAAAAACAATTCAACAGCTTCCTTAGCAAAGCACACCTTGCATAGCCGCAAATCAAACTGGTCCAAGATACAACATTCCTCACAGTCATTTCATCGAACACCTTGCGTGCCAACACAATCTCCCCACATTCTGCGTAGAAATGAATCAAAGAATTTAATATAAACACATCCCCTTGAAAACCCATTTTTATAATCGACCCATGAACCTGAAAACCCTCGGCACACGCTGAAACCTTTGTGCACGCACTTAATAAGAAGGGGAATGTATATTTATCAGGTAAAATGGCCAGACTCAGCATTTCCAGATAAACCCAGACAGCTTCATTACCAAGACCAATGGAAGAGTAACCTCTAATCAATGAATTGTACATATATAAAGCAGCACCATTCTGATTATCCTGTAAAAACTGATTTAAGATGTTTTTAGCGTAAACTAAGCTATCAAAAGTCCCCATTTCAGTACATGTGGATATAAGCTTCGTTATGGTAGAGGGATGGTTAATCAGTCCTTGCTTGGTGATTCGAGAGTGCAGTTTTCTGAGTTGAATCAGGTTTTTGCAATTTTTAAAAGTAGTAGTTGGAGAGTCATTGGATTTGGGTAGGGCTTTGTTTGCTAGAGGATTTAAGGTTTGAGAGGTTAATAGAGGAGAAAGAGAGGTCACTGCCATTGTTGGGGGTGTAAGCTTTTGGTGCTACGATGAAACAATGGTATATTTAAGTTAGTACTTTTCTGTATTGATAGGGCTTATATTATAAATAAGTTATATCGTATTTTTATAAAATACTACTGTAAAAAAGATTTTTTAATATTTTAATTTATTATTTATAATTAAAATCAACATGTGAATCTTAATTATGTTTGCACTAATTATAGTTAAAGATGAAGGAAAAGAAATTTTCAAAAATATAAAAAATGTAAGAATTTTGGAAAAAAGAAATGTGCACGAGCCGGGAGGTAACGACTGTTGTAATCAAACTTGATTCTTTAATAAGATTAGCACCTTGTAGAAACAAGCACATGGAAAATGAATTACAGCAGTAGCTATCTAAATGAATCGGCAAAGAAGCTTCAACAAATGACAACGTGGTAGCAAATTGATGCCATAAAAGCTTGGGAATTGGCATCACAATTCACCAAGGAAGAAATATGGCAACAAAATTTATGGCAATTGATGAAAGTTGCAACGTGGATGGAATCAAAAAGAATTGAAGCATGAAACTTCATTACGGCAAGCAATGTTCGTGGAAATTGACTAAGCAAATAAGACGGTTTACCAAGGCTATAAATATGTGTCGTAGCCTTAGTTTAGAATAGATGTACGAGAGATTTATGAGTAAAATATATATATATATATATATATATATATATTATATATATATATATATATATATTTGAGAGATTGAGATAGGCTTTTGAAAGTTTTGAATAGTGATTTGTTTGTAAACTTGCCGAAATTAGTATTGAGTATTGGGTTAATGTAAGTTAGTATTGGGTTAATGTCGTTGTAGCATATTTTATCTTGTATCAATAATAATTCGAATTATAAAAATTATTAAGTGCTCACCTACGCTTTCAACAACGACAAGACATGTATATTAGTCTTATCTTCAATTACTCAATAAATACAAGATTATAGTAAAGACATAAAAAATAACATTTAAACAATATGAGATTTAAGAAATCTACTATTACATTTATTAACTTTTTAGTATTAAGATAATTCTTACATTTTGATTAGATATATGTCATATTGTTATTTTTTTAAAAGAAATGAGTTTCACACTGAATATTATCTTTAATGATTATTCTGACGTAAGTTTGATCAAAGTTCATAATATGTCTTTAACAACTTAAAATTGACAAGTTTAACGCTGAGATCCTCAAACCTCACATTGTTTACATATCATTTTTCAAGTCTTTAAATAGTCTTTCAAACATGCACACTTCTATAACCAAAAAAAACATGCACACTTTAAATAACTGAAAGATAATATTCATGCATGCATGTCAATTTTGTCCGACTCTTACAATACGATGTTTTTAACATGTATCATGTGCACTTTTTTTTATATAAAATACGTACTATTTTTTTATGTTTCGACTCTAATTAGTGTAAACATTGAAAAATGATGATCATCTAGTAAAATAAAATTTTCTTTCTAAAATAAATACTCTTTTTCTAAATATTTCTTTTAATATTGTTTACATAAATAATAAAAGATAGTATTATTTTTCTAAAATAAATACTATTTTTCTAAACAATTCTTTCTAAAATGTTACTCTTTTAAATATTATTTACATAATAGGTTCTTTTGTCTCCAAGATGCAACTTTATTTCTTTTTTCTACTTAAAAGAGAACCAAACATGATTCAATATAATTTGAAACAATAATTATACATTACAGTGGATAATATTAAAAGAAGATACAAATTTTCTTTTCCTCTCTGCAATACTCCCATCAAAACAAGTCATTTGGTTAGCTGTTGAAGATTATAATAAGAAACACGAGTTGTTTTGGCTCATGTTCAGCCAAACAAAGAGAGCAAACTGAAAAAATAAACACAATACACTTGGTAATCAACTCGACAGCAGCTCGTAACGGTTTTTACAGAGTGTACTCTTCGACTTCCGTCACCGACCATCGGATGAGCTTAATGTGTCCGGAAATCCTGAGGGTTTAGCGGGGATGCTTGCATGGGTTTGGGAGTATGATATATCAGAATACGTTGTTGAAGTACTTTCATCGGCTTGCCATCTTAGTAGAGCCTGAGGAAGGCTCATGTGAAGGCCAATGCCGGAGTGTTGGTCAAGCTCTTGGCTGGAAGGTTTCCACAGCTCAACAAGGGGGCCCAGTACGTTTACTGCGTGCCCCATGTCGGGACGCTGATATGGTTCACGAGCTGTGCAGTGTCCTGCCAGTTCAGCCACCTTGAAGATGCTTGCCATTGTCTCTTCATCACAATTGAATGTTTCATCAACATTTTAGGAATGTTGTCTTTGTTGATAAGTACCCTGCGGAACCATGTGACCAAATGTGACTTCTCATCAGGTAATGTTTCGTCTAAAGCTTTTCGGCCTGCGATTATCTCCATCAACACCACTCCAAATGCATACACGTCCACCTTTGTAGTCACCCTTCCAGTTGCTGTAAAGATTAAAAAACAGTATATCTGTTAAAATTTGCAGAAACAGAACAACCAGGTAAAACGCAAAGATAAAAAAACACTTGCTGATTTAACCAGAAAGATTGGTTTCAACAAAACCCAAAGAAGATAATTTAACAATCTTTTATAACAAGAATATGGAATATTCTTTGAGGCCTCATGACTTATAAGCATGTTGTTTAAGATCAGGTCACCCCATTTTCCTTTACTGAGTAAATTAAGTCTAAAAAATGGCTATTAGCACCATTTGACATGTATAGCAAAATCATGCCACAAAGAGCCGCAATCATTGACTGCGAATATCTTAGCTATTCCAGAATTGAGACATTAAGGATGCACCTAAATTTCAATGAAAGGATCCATTTGCCTAGAGCAAATTATCAAAGAATATGTATAACACTAAGCAAATATGCAGCTTATGTAAAATCTCAACATTTCAAATTGAGAATCAACGTACCAGCGTATTCAGGAGCAAGATATCCAAATGTTCCTGCCAATCTTGTCTCGACAGAGTACTTGCCATCGGGTGCATTTTTAACCAGTCCAAATCGGCAACCTTTGCCCTCAAGTCATCCCCAAGGAGAATATTGGAGGGCTTCAAATCCTATGAATGAAACTTTGTTGTGCTAAAGAGTGCAAATACTCGACCCCTCGTGCAACATCCAGTGCAATGGTGACTCTCTGCTTCCAGGTTAGCGGAGCATACCATTTTTCCCGCCATTCAAAGAGATGCTGACTAAGGGTACCTTGAGGCATGTACTCATAAACCAGGATCCTATCATTACCATTATACAGTAACCCAGGAGAGCAACCAGATGCCTGTGCCGAACTTTCGTAAGCACTGAAATTTCAGCCTGAAACTCTTTCATTCCTTTAGTACCTGTCGACACACACTCCATCCTCTTGACAGCAATCTGTGTACCATCATGCAATTCCCCTTTATACACTACCCCAAAACCACCTCTTCCTAAAATATTAGCCTCGTCAAAATTATCTGTCACCTGTCTTAGTACTTGCATTGAGATTACTACATTTCCACCCTCAAAAAAATGGCGGTCACTACGATCACCACCACTGCTTTGCCTTTGCATTTCACCGGTGACTTCCCCACTCCCATTCCCATTCATTCTGCCAATGTTTGTTGGACTCTTAACTACACCCCTCTCAACATCACTTCCCTTTACATTATCGGATTTTCCATACCTCTTGTTCATAACATACTTATAAGAAACAAAGCAGACAACAACAATAAAAATCAATACACCAGCAACAATACCAACAATCATAGCAACTGAATTCTTACCACTACCTCCACTTTTTATGTTACCGTTTGAACCTCCGCCGGATGCTCCAGATCCTGAACCTCCTCCACCAGAACCACTAGATTTTCCAAGTAAACTATTCCCAGAGTAACTGAATTTTACCGAGCTCGAAAATTGAGGGATGTCACCACTAAGATTGTTATTAGACACATCAAGCAGCTGCAAACTACTCAACTTAGTCAGGCCATCAGGAATCGAACCAGTTAATTGGTTATCATTTAGATTCAAGTTCTTCAATGCTGTGAGAATCACAAACGCCGGAGAAATCGTCCCAACCAAGTTTTTATTTGCCAGATTTACTGTAATCACATTCTTTTGAGCATCACAAGTAATAAAAGAGCATTGGCAGGCATCATTTCCGGACCAACTATCAGAAAGAGACACGGGGTACCCAAAACCCCCAGCAATCTCAAGCAATGTAGTAACTTGAGGACTACAAGGTGTCCCATCATTATTACAGAATTATTGTTTTCATCAACAACTACTTTCTCAACTGAGCTGGGGAAAATTGGGAAAGGGCCCTGCAATTTATTATTAGACAAAGAAACATTCTTCAAGACTGGAAGATCAATTAGAGATTTCGGGACAGGGCCTGTCAACTGATTGTCTCTAAGCTGAAGATCATAAATACTCAGACATTTAGACAAATCTGGATCAGACCCGTAAACATGTTTTTATGCAACCAAACCTGAGACAACTGTGTCATGTTGGACAAAACCTCTATAGTGCCAGTGAATCCAATAGCCTGATTGTTGATCCAAAGATTCTGAATCATCGAACCACGGATAGAAGCAGGTAATGTGCCGCTCAAATTGTTGTAAGACAACCTTATACTTTTCAAGCTGCTCATAGACGAGAAGATATCGGGCAAGGGACCGAACAAGCTGGCGTTGTCTAGTTGAATCTCAACTAGGCCAGTCGATTGGGACAAATCTGGGAAACTCCATGGACTTAAACCGGCATTATCACTCAAACTTAGTTTTTGCAAGCTCGTCAACCCCGAGAACGCATTTGTGGAGATAGAGGTGAACGCGTTGCTGTCTAGGAAAACCTCTTGTAAGCTAGAGAGATTGGCGAAAGATGGTACGGTACCGGACAATGCGTTGCGTTGGAGTGAAACAGTTCGGAGCTCCGACAATGAAGCAATGTCGGGCGAAAGGGTACCCGACAGGGATTTGGAGGGGAGGTTGATGTAAGTAACGCGGTTGGAATTGTCGCAATTAATGCCGGGCCACTTGCAGTAGTTGTCAGAAGAAGTGGAAGACCACCCAGTGGGGGTAGGACGGAAGGATGAAGCTATCTTGAGAATTGTTGCACCGTCGTCACCGGCAGCAAGAACGACAGAGAAAAGGAGGAGGGGAAGGAGGAGATGGTGGCAGCTAAGCATATCTTTCTGGGTTGGTTTCGGAAACCATAAACATTTGGATTATCCGACAACGTTGGCGTTTGTTGGAATGTCTATTCAATATGCTTTTGCTTCTTCTTTTCCTTTAAATTTCTTAACAGTGAAAACAAAGGCAATGTTTTTAGGGTAATGGGCATGGTTGGAGACTAGAGGAACAGAAAACATTAATAATAATAATAATCAAAGGGAATTTTATTAGTTGTAATTTAAAAGTATTATCCTTTCTTTTTTCTAAAAGGAGGGGGATAGCTTCCTTTTTGTTTTAAATCTGTAACCAAATTAAGGAATGGGAACCATCCGTTAGTCGCTTTATGGTTTCATATTCTATTGATAAACTTTAATTATTTATTGGTCAAGTATAAGGAGAATTATCGGTGGCATAAGAGGGATTAATGGGGTCATGCCCTTTAAAATCTAAAAATTATAATTTAAATCTTTTAAAATTTTTAAAACAATTGCTTTGGTCCTCTTAAAATTTTTAAAAATTTAGATTAAATTTTAAATTTTTCTAATGTTTTTAATTAAATCACCTCCCATAATTTTTAAAAATTATCATTAAGCATCTTAAAATTTCAAAAAATTTAGTTAGACCCTAAATTTTTGGGAAAAATATAAATTAAACTCTTCAAAAAATTAAAATTTTTTATTTAAATCTCTTGATTTATTAAAATTTTAAATTACTCTCAAACTTTATCACATAATTCCGCCCCTGAAAATTATGATTCGGAGGTGTTAAGATATTAGAGTTGGTGGCAATACAGATAAATAATCCAAGAATAATTGGTTTAATAAATAAATAAACCAAATTCAAAGAAATTCCAGAAATGAAAATTTCCAACCACCACGTTGTGTGGGTGGCAGTAACAGCTTAAGACAGATGATTTCATCTTCACATCAACTAATGTTCTTTCTTTCTTCTTTTATATATATATATTTGTTGTCATCTTCATAATTTCAAACCCTAACTTAATTGGTCAGCCGATCTGTTTTACGTATCAAAGCATCAAATGATACCCCATTATTTAATTTAGAATTAAACATTATTTAGATTAGAATTTTTGTGTGTAATAAAAAAGAAAAAGACAACAGTTGGCACTAGCGAATGTCATACTTTTTCAAAGGAAAGTTGCCGAAGCCATGTGCTGTTGGTATAATTTTCGACTTTTTTCTCCAGACCGTTGACAAACTTAAACTAAACCCTAAACTTGATGCATCAAATATAAAACTGTCTTTTCTTTTCTATTTGACGAAAAATACAATATAAAATCATAAATGTTGGTAAACTTATACCACGACGATAGAAACGGAGACAATATAGAATAAAACTTTGAGTCACAGATGCTGTTTTTTGAAAAGAATTATTTGTTCTCACACAAAATTGTGATAGACACTTAAGATAAAAAAAAATTTCCGAGATACAACGAACTTTCAATTTCCTTTCATAAGTAAAATTAAGAAATTTCCCTTATTCTTACTCTTATTATAGAAGATTGAATTGTTTGGGAAAATACTGTGGATCATCTATTTATATGCATCCAATAGACACCACTTTGAAAGATCACAATCTTTCATATAGGATATATCTTTTTTTTTTGAAAAATGAATACTTTGTATTATAACGCAAAGTACACAATCCCAATGATCTCATTAAAAAATCTCTCTAAACCTAAGTGGAGAAAAAAAAGTAAACCTTAAGATAGAGAAACAGAAGAACATGGTCCCACTTGCAACAACACAAAGCCGAAAACTACACCACTAGAACGACCATCACAAGCTACAAAAATATAGCTACATACTACCCCTGTAGGAAAAACAAGAAGAAACACTCACATCCAAACAATGAACAAAACCAATCTACATCCTCCGAACATAAGACAATAGAGCACAATGTCACGAACTTGGGCTTTTTCACACACTTTGGGCTATGATGGGCTACATTTAGTCTTGGAGGTTGATAGAATAATGTAGATTATTCTAGAAGCACTCAAGACTTGTACAAATGTAGAGTATTCTAGAAGCATTCTAAAATCGTCCATGTTAGGTAGGAAATAATGGAGAATTCTAGAGAATCTCTCCCTACCGTAGGATCAAATCAATCTCCACCGTCCATTGAGGAGGTGGGATGCTATAAATAGGTGTAGAATCCTCATTTGTAAATCATCCAAGAGTTGTAAGCATTCAAGCATTCAACAAGCTTTCTCTCTAAGTTCTTTCCTTTCTTCTTTGCTTCCTTGCCAATCCTTTCACTAGCACGAGTTCGAGTGAGGCTGACTTAGCTATCGCGAGGGGCGAAAAGGAGCTAAGGCCACACGAGGCTTATTGAGCGATTAAGTCCGTGACAATAAGCCTAACAAAGGATGCTTGACACACCACCACAACTATAAATCTAGAAGAGAAGGAAAGACTGAAAACCCTGGCACAGTAGAACAAAATACAAGAGATAATGGATCTTTGGCAGAAATCATTGGACATGAGTCGAGACAGCATGTGATAGGAGAGTTCATAGAACTGAGAGGAAACACACAAACTGGATTCAACTGCACTGCACCACTAAGTATAACCCCAGCATGACTTCTAGATTTCTGAAAAGGATAACACCAACGAGAAAACGGCCAACAAAACGAGCACCAAGGTGACCAACGAGAAGATTTAGCTTTATCACTGCACCAATAATAACAATGATGAAATCTTCAAAGGCTAAAACCAACACTAAAATACACCTGAAAAGAACTTATGATCAAGCGGCAATCAACCTGGATCCCAATTTAGAATCACTAGCAGAAAAGGACCACCCTAAGCTAAAGCCTACAACGCTATTACGCAGAAACAACAATCACCATTAACACACCACAAAATCACCATTAAAACGCACCTATTAACAAAAACCACTCAGTTGGGAAACCTTAGACTCCTGAAGCAAAATCAGAATAGCCAAACCGGATCCCTAAAAATTGCTAAAGCCCAACACGCTCAACAAGAATGTGCTGCTCCACTGGCACAAAAAAAGATAAGATGGGAAACACGTGCAACCCTTGTACAGAGACTCCCATACCTTCCACGTTAGCTACTGCAAGCGCCGAACCACTTTCCAAGAAACCAAAAATAATATCACACCACTGACTACACGACACCATCTGCTCCTACCCATCCAAACCTCCCTCGAGACCAACGCCAGCAGCATGCTCAACCTCAAATATTAAAAGGATAATTCCTTCTTCGTCTTCAGCACAACACACTCCACCCCTCACCAAGGTTCCATCGATGAAGGCTCTAGCTTCTTCCTTATCGATCAGAATGACTCTTCCCCACAAGCTACCAATGTCAATAGCAGATTCCTACTCCAATAGATAGAGGGACAACCAATCAGAGAAACCCAAACTTTTGCTTTAACTCAATTCTCAAATCCTACCGTCAACCCAACTCATCAAACCATAAACAACTCCATTTATCTCTATTGAAAGAACACACCTAGCGATCGAAACCTTTTTGAAACTGAGAAATCAACAACAGATCATGCCAAATACAAACCTTCAAGTCCAGATCTACAGCTTAAAAGTTGTTAGAATAAAAACATAATTATAACTGATTTAAAAAAATACCAACCAAACAACTCTCTGCCCACGAAACTCCTGATTGGGGAATAAAATGTTCCTGAAAACGCCCTCAGGAAATGAATAAGAGCTGACTTCTCTAACATACACAACCAGATCAGCGCCTCAATAGAATCACAGCCTGAAAACCCTCAAAAATCTCGTATGGCTAGCTACCCACCAACTACCTTAACACCTTCCTTAACATCTCTGAAAAGACCTAACGACCCTATAACCTGGTTTCCATACATTTTTAACACTTCTATCAGCAACTACCCACTTCCTTACCACTCACACAAATCAAGCAAAGAGACGATGAAGAGAAACAATGGCGACGAACAAACGAACCGCTCTTAAGAGAGGCGGTGGCGGCCTCCACCATCGACCTAGCAGCTGAAACAAACTAATTAAAAGGAAAACAAAAAACAAAAGAAAGAAAAAGATCGGCTGCTAGCAACCAGCCTTAAGGGCTGGTGCCGCCGCCTCCGGCTATTGGAGAGCTGGAACAAACGAGATTGGTCAATATTATTTTCAACAATTTAATGATAAATCATCAACCTTGAATTAAAATAATTTGCAATCTATATATTTCAACAATTCCATGTTAGATTGCTAATTTTAAGTACACAACGATTATGCGTAAAGGAGGGTGTCCGAAGATTAAACCTTTAGTGCAAATTTTCAAAGTATTAACAAAGTGAATCGTGACTAGTCGTTTGAACCATCACTCCTAAAGTCAATATCGGAAAATTTACACACATAATCATAAGGTATTAGAGTAAGAGTTTATTTTCTTTAGCAACGAGTTGGCCATGGGGCTCATCCCATTTTATGAACGAGTACTAGAGAAATCATAAAGAAAAACTCCCGTTGAAGCAGCCCAACTTCATGTCCATATAGGTGAATTTTGTGACAATTAATGTACACCGTACTTATCGGTGAATTAGTGTAAATACAATTACACACACCATTATGTTAAAAATAACGTATGACAAGTTAACGAGTCAAATTTCTCACGTCATTGTTCAGGCTTATGTTTTAAACCATACAATGACTTACCAACTTACATACCTTATGTTAATTATCGAGAAACACAAAGCCTTCATGTTGCTCCATATAGATTTCCTCTTTGAGATTACCCTTTAAAAAGTTCGTTTTAACATTCATTTAGTGTACATATAACTTATAAATGGAAACAAGTACCATAAGAATTTGAATGGAAGCCATCCTTGTCACCGGTACATAAGTATCAAAATAATCTAGGTCTTTTGGTATGAGATATGGTGATAAGTAAAGTACAGCTTGTCAAGGTTCATTAACACAGCTTAATGAACAAAGAGAAAAGATATGAGAGAAGAGGCTCTCAAAACCTTATTGATGAATCAAATTCAAGAAGATACATCTCTGGTTACAACAAAGCTTACTTATAGCTTTATGAGCATACACAACTGAATTGAAAACAGAAGCATAACAGCTTCATAACAGAAACTCAACTACCTATCACTAACTAACTCATAACCACTTGTAAACTCATAGAAACCTATTACATTCACCCATCTTCTGCACTTCTATAACGCCAACATTCTCAATGCTTCTCTATCCTCCTAAGCAGCAGAATGAGGACCAATATTCCTCATCCTTGCCAACATTCTAAACAGCAAATTGAGGTTTAACACAGCTTCAGAATTCTTGCTTTGAAATTTGACATATAGTGTTCTGATGAGTTAACCAACACGAATGAAGAAATTGATGAAAACCAAAGGATGCTGAGAGAACTAAAAGAAAAGCAAGTAGATCTGTTGTCAAGGAAGAGGAGTAAAATATATGAAATTACCTCACTTAAAATATGTGACATTGTTAAAGACATTCAAAATTTAGTGGCTGATTTTGAGAGTCTAGCTGGTAGGTCCTCGAGACTGGACATACTTGGATATTGTCTCTATCCTTCTTGTTCCACGATGTTGTCTTTCGTAGGTTTTGAGGTACCAATAGGGTTACATCACCAAGACTAGACAACAGTGATTTTTCATGGTTCTGTATGATCCATTTAGTTGCTAATGTCGTGTTTTTGTAAGTAACTTCTGGTATCTTAAGTAATTTCTTCTTGATCAAAATGGTTCAAAATAATCTGTCGTGTTAAATTTGATGTCAAAAGTTAAATACTGTTATCTATGATTCAATCCATAAATCTGTTTTCGTATTAAATTCATTAATGTTAAAATACATGGGCCAAAATCACATAATTGAGATAGTAGGTTATGAACACAAAGTAAAAAATAAAGGAGACTTCTTTGAAAACTGTAAATAGATTATTATATTTGGTGTAATGACAAAATTATTTTTCAACGTTTGTATAAATGATCATTTTGTCTTTTATAATTTTAGTATTTTAAATCTCAACATTTTAATTTTTTTCAAAACAAACTCTGTTAGATGAAAACAATTAATTAACTAACGGTCAACACATGTTACTGACTTGATATTTTTATATGTATTTAATTATTGACATGACATGTGTCATATCATCTAAAGTAATGATATGACATGTATCATATTACTAAAGTAATGATATGATATGTATCATATCACTAAAATAATAATGTCGTACGTATCATGTAACTAAAGTTATGATGAGGTATGCGCAACGTCATTAAAGTGATGATATGATATGTGTAACAACATAAGTTGAATACATATAAAAATATCACGTTATGAACATGTGTTGATCATTGGTCAACTAACGATTTTCATTCGATAGAAAATTTGAAACATCAAATACTAAAATACTCCCAAAAGAAATAGAGTATCCATTTATACAATTATTGGGAGTAATTTTGTCATTATGTGATTATGTTTTGGCTTGAAAACCTTCGTACCAACCGTGATGAAAGGAGAAATTCCAGCCTGGTGCAACACTTTGAAAGAGAAAATAAGTTACTTGCGCCCGTTGAAGGCCCTGAGTCTCGATAGTTTCAATGGGTTTTGGAACACCGTTAAGCCTTGTATGTTCCTTATCGTCAAAAGCTTTTTTTCATTGTGTTCATATGTTTCCAGAGCTCTATTACTTTGACCTTGCAAACTCTATAAATAGGAATTCATTTATGTCATTAAAACAAAACTTTTTGAAAATATTTATATTGTGAGTATTCACTCCTTTGTTTTTAATTGAATTTTGTGGCTTGTTAAGATAATCTTTTATACAGACTGGCTCCTAATTCTTTATACATAGAAAATTACAGTCTTTGTTTTGAATCATTATAAAGATAGGGTCAACACTCCATCTATAGTGTTGGTTCACTCTTCAATTCTTAACAATTCGATATCATTTTTCATATATCCTACTTCCGTTTATCCTTATAATGTTTAAATCATTCATCTTACTTTAAAATGATTAAATCAAAACTTTTATTGTTACATTTTTCAAAGCAAGTACTTTGGCCTATTCATAGTTTTATCCCAAACATCAATCACAATTCACATGTAAAATGTGGAAAGGGCAATAAAAAAATTAACATCCCATCACTTTGTTGGGTGGAAGCTTAGGTTCTCAACCACAGTCCCATCGTTCCCAGCTAGGGCCCGGTACTTATCCTTCCTGGTAAAACTTGTGCACTCGTATGAAAGAGTTGCAGCAATAACTCTTTGGATGTAATTGGCAACCTCATGGTTCGACTTCCCTGAGCTGCATGTTAGCTCCGGTGGCAGCTTGTTTAAGAATGTTACTTCGTATGATGGACTAGGGTTCATGAAGAAGTAGAATGGGTCCATCCCTTTCCATCCCCTGGCTGTGGTCCCATGAAACATGCTCATACGGTTCACCATGGCAACCGGCACAAGCTCGTCGGTTAATTCGGCAAACATAGCTGAAAACCTAAGAAGGAACGGTTCACGACAGGTGGTTCCTTCGGGGCAGATAGCAAGGTCACCTTCTTGAAGCAACTTCTTAATCATGGATGCATCCGTGGCTCGGTCTCTGCTTAGTTTAACAGTTTTGATGGGCGAGATGATCTCAGAGAGACGAGAGATCGAGTAGGTCACCGCGGCAATAGGGCGTCCTAGAGCAGTAGAGAGAAAGATTGGGTCAAGTAAGGTTCTGTGGGAGCAAATGAAGAGGACACCAGATTGACCGGTTGATTTTTGTACTGGTGGAGGTGGAGTTCCCTTCACGGTGACTCGAACTCCGAGTGCCAAGAAAGCATAGTAGACCATGGGCATTGGGAGGAGTGAGCCGGCTGCAATGCGCAAGCAGGCCAGGAGGAACCCTATGGGGGTCCAGAGAATTATAAGAAGAGCCATTAGAGGCGTTGGCTTTTGAACAAGCCGCCCATCATGAAAAATTATAGGTTTCGGGAGTTTCTCGCTTGCAACTGCCTTTGTTGATGGATTTGATGTCACAAAATAACCTTCCTGCAATAGTTTTTCATTTATTTGTTAGTTCATCATACATGATTGGTAGGTGTGCATTCGGTTTGATTTTTTAATAAAATATGATTGGTAGTGCCATGTTATATAGTTCAGAAGATTACCTTGCACAATGCCATGAAAGGAATATCAGTTTGCCTATCTCCAAGTCCAATATCGGGCTTTGTCTCGCTGAAAGCCTTTTGAAGAGCATCTGCCTTGTTATTCCCAACAAGTACCCCAGGGTTACAAACAAGCCCTGTAGCTCTACCGTTGTATGTTCCAATCTCTGTGCCTAAAACCATATCAGCTTCTAAGAAATCTTTTAGGAAAGCTTCCACCATAATCCTAGGATTCGCCGTAAGGACGCAACGTTTTGCACACGAGGCGAAGACTCTCCACGACTCGGGGTGGAGATCACTAGAGTAGAACTTGGGCAGCACTGCTCGTGCCACTGATTCGATGTCGCGCACTTTCATCCCCGCGAATGTTGTGAAAATAAGAACTTGGATGCCGGCCGATTCGGACACAAAGTAATAAAGAAGTCCAGCGAGTGGTGAAGCTAAGAGCAAGAAAAGGAGCCTCAAGACTCCACCAGCTTCGAAGGCAACCAAAGCGAAATAAGGGAAAGAGCTACGGCCTATAAGCAGGGTGCCATCCATGTCAGCCACCACCGTGTGCTTCTCTCGGCCTATGGATGCACATTTTTCGACAGCAGGGAAAGCATTATTCGTAACCATGTTTTCTGAAAACCAAGTTTCCAAATGAACAAATGATTGATTAATCAAGAAGTAGAAAAACTTGCTACTAAATTATTGATACATGTTTGCAAATGTCAAGTAGAATTATATAGGGTTAAAGGAAATAGAAAGGGACAAGGAGGCATTAAAATAACATAAAAATGGGATGTTAAAGGACAAGAAAGGGACGAATTACGAAGATTAGCGCCGTGATTCCCACGAGTGTTTGAGAGCCAGCCAATGGAAGAACCGAGGGGAAGCCTTTGTTGTTTGTGTGGTAGGGAAGATAATAAAACATTGTAGGCAGTTTGGTACTTAGATTACATCGCTAACCTGTTTGTCTGTATTTTAACCCCAATTATTTTGTTTTGCCGAGCAAGCCCAAGCACATGTTTTCTTGCACTTAGAGCATGTAGCGGTACTAAACATGTCTGTGTTCGTGCGTTAGTTTTTAGAGAAAAAGCACATGTTCTTTTTGTCGGGGTAAACTTATTGGGTTGTTTTGTCACTTTAGTGGTAGATAATCACGCTTCATGCTGTAATCATGCCTAAGTTACTAGAGCATTATCTTATTTTAGTTATTCCTTTTGGAATCATCTAAGTGGTAAAAAGAGATATTATTATCTTTAGAGTATCCGTATTCAGATTTCAGAATAATTTAGAGCCAAGAGTAAAATTGCTTTCTAACTTATAAGGAAATTGAGTTCATGCTCTTAATGAAGGATTAATTTGAATTCTAGTCACAATTACACATCAATTAAAAAAAATCAAATTAACAAGTAAACATCAATAATCCTCTAAGGACTAATCCACAAGAAAAACAACTTGTTTAGTGCTTTTATGAAATTTACCAATAGTTACGAATGGCATAATGAGTAATGCTTCTTGAAACCTGCAACAAACATAATAGTAAACCATATGCAACTAAGAAGATAACACAAATATTACATTTTACTTCTCCAGGGAAGAGAGCATCAAGACAATGGACCAAGTACTCTAAGCTTGTACCCATCCCATGGCTGAAGAAGGCCGGCGGCCAGCGTAATCTTGTAGACTATCTGAGAAATTGTCATGTGAATAAATGAACATTATATCCCTGCACTTCCATCAAACAATTTCATTACCAACTTGTTTAGTTGCCTAGTGTTGTTGGGTGGGATTAGTTGAAACATCAAAAAAGCAGGAGGAATGAAAACAACATCATGCCAATTCGAGGTACAACTGTCCTGCAAATTTGAATTGACGAGATTAAAACAGCAGATGGTTCTTATCCCTAAAGCTCCACTTTCCACACGAGAAAACTTTTACTACAAAGCAGCAACTTAATTTCATCCCCTTTGATTGTGTCAACCTGTGATTTTTTTTCAATATGCATATATTACTATAAAGAAATATATCATTGAATCACAAAGTATAACTGACTATATATATTTGTGGACTGTGCATGTGTGTGAATAAAATAAATTTTATTCAAACTCAAAAATTACAGTCCTAAGCATTCTTTTCAAGAAAACAGCAGCCTACCTGAATATCCCCAGGTCTTAAAGCAGGATTCAGTTGATTCTGGTAGCGGGAAGCTCTCAACAGTGATTGCTCTAAATTCTCATAAAAGAACTTCAAAACATAAGAAAACCTGAAGCAGAAGAATTAAGACCATCCATGAATACAGCGCATATAACAATACTATTGTATTTACCAACCTTTCGAAAGAAACCGGTCGATAACTCTTATTCTGACTTCTTAATACCAAGCTCCAAGACTGAAAGCAAAATATTTCAACAATTTCAAATCTTGCAATAATGAAGTTAGATTGGTGCGTTGAAACAAATGTAACACACAGAAAACAACCTTTTCTCTATAGTGACGTTTAAAGCAGATGCAAGTTGCAAGTAAGCAGAAACACCTCCGGGCTCGCAAAGAATAGGCTCAAATTCAAAGCCCACTAAGCCAGGCAGAAATCAGATAACAGTGTCAAGCCTAACTCGGACCAATTTTAAACACGACATATGGCCAGAAAATCATGAGTGAATCAATTATTTAGAAACAAAAGCTTTGAAAAGTGGCATGTTCAAGCAGAAAGAGCAGGATGCACAAGAAAATTGTAGGGAAGCAAATAGTGCAGGCAAAAATGCTTAAGGAATTTTATAATCTTTATTCAATTCTAATGGCAGTTCTAACCATATACTACAAGTTACTATTTGGGTGCAGAGTTATAGCTAGCAGAAAACGAATCCCAACTACTTCTGATTACCAGATATTATTAAGTCATTGTTTGTAGCTAACTAACGCATACACAGGCATAAAGAGACATAAAGGTGAAGAGAGGAAAAATAATTGAAGAAAGAAACAATTAATTAGCCTTTGTTACTGAAAGAAGAAAAATCCATCTCATAAATTCTTGCTACTGTTCAAAATCTACCAGAGAGTAATTTTTGTCATCTCTTTCAGCATAATTCTGAACCAGCTTCACTCTATATTTCATACCTGATTTAAAAATAATATTAATTAAAGAATAATTTTAGTCTTAGATGGATGATATTAAAAAAATATTAGTCGTTCTCAAACCACGAAAAGTAATTGAATGCTTTTCCTAAATTAAAATTCAAAGTAAAACTAGGTTAGCTTCAATTCCAAGGCGTCGGCGAGGACACAATAAACAAAGGTTCCGTTGTCCCTGGGAAACCATATTTTGCCCAATTAATTAGAAACATGATATCAGCTTGGCACGATCTCCATTTTCTTAATGTCGTCACCCAATTATAAATAATAATAATTTCGTATATTACTAATATATGTATAATCATCGAAATAAGTTTAATTTTTAAAATTTTATAATAATATAATCATATTTAATTTATTGATAATGTATAAAATTATCCTTCGATACTACAAGATAATCTATCCATAAAAGAAATAAGTAGTTGTACTGTACACCATATTTTGTGTTTTAAATATTTGATTTTAGTCCATAATTTTTAGAGCATTAAGAATTCTCAATTTACACATCTCATCTTTATTAGATTATAAGTTTAATACCCATCAAAAACAAAATTTACTATTCGTTTCCTCTTAAGTATAAATTATTTTAAAAATATATTATATGATTTCAAAAGAATATTTTATCTATAAAAGAAAAAACGTGGTTGTAGTGCAGCCCATTGTTTAGCTGGTATCCTGCAGATATTTTTCCAATTATAGTGTTTTTCTATGAAATAAGAATAAAAAAGGTCATCTTACACAGACATATATAAAATAGAGAGAGAAGAGATAAAAAAATTATATAATAGTTAAAGAAAATATTATTATTTTAAAAAAAATTTAAGTTTAAGTAGTTACGTACGCGGATGTGTATTGTTAATAATTAAAAAATATTTTAAACATATATTATTTTTATTTTATATATTCTAAATATTTTATTTTATGTTTTTATTGTTAATTTATTTTTATTAAATAAAATTCAACCTTTTATATATTGAAAGTGGACGTATAAAATTGAACGCAAATAGATGCTTTCTTAAAGAAAAGGTTAAACTACCATTAACTTTTAGTACTTAAACTTTTATTTGTTTTAAAACAACACTAAACATTTATTTCTTTATTGTTTCATTTAGTATTCTACTTTTAAAAACTTAACGGTCCTGCACGTGGCATTTTCTAGGAGAATTTATATTATTCATGAATTAACTATCTTCTCACTCTTATTTTGGTCACTAGAGTTTAAAAAATTTCAATTTAACTACTCAATTTTCAAATTGTTCATGTTTTAATCACTCTAATTTATTTTTTTTAATATTTTTGTGACATGTCATTTATTATTATTATTTATTAATATATAATTAAAATAATTTTTTTGGAAGTTAGAGTGATTAAATTTGAAATAATTTGAAAGTTAAGTAATTAAATTAAAAAAATTAAACTTTAATGACCAAAATAGGAGTGAGAAGATAATTGATTGATGAATAATATAATTTACTCACAAAAAGACTTCATGTACTTACAATTTGGCTAAGTTTTTAACGGCGAGATATCAAAAAGGAAAAAATTAAATATTAGTAAAAGTTTAGATAGTAAAATAAAATAAAATTAATAGTTTAGATATTAAACATATAGTTTACCCTAAAAAAGTATGTGGTGCCGGCAGTCAACAGTAGGTGAGGATGAGCTATGCTGAGCTGAGGTTAAACTTCCCCCCCCCCCCCCCCCCAAAGATATGAACCGGACGGCATACAGTCAGAGATAAGTCGCTTTCAATTTGAATAAACATTTTCATCTTTTTATAATATGCCAAATTTAACATTTTCCTTAATCTCATTATTATTTATTTAATAATAAATCTTAAGTACTTTGAATAAAAATAATAATTTTTTATCCATTAAAAGTTGCTATCCAATGATTAATTGGCTACTAAATTATGTTGTTGACGTATTCACCATACTAAACTATTTCACTGCTTAATGTTTTAATAATCAAGTTTTATGAATAGTTCATTATAGCATATTTTCGATCATGAATTATGTAAACGAAAATGTTAAAAAGATGTATATCGATCTTATATTTATATAAACTTTGGATTCAATAAAAAATATTATCATACAACCGACAATCATCTGGTTTAATAAGATGAGACACTAAATTTCTTAAACAATGACAGATATTCGAATCTTCATATTTACGAATGAAATAAACTGAGTTGAAAGAATCACTTCATAGTTAACCTCTATAAAACCTTATTTGAATTAACTGATAAATAAATTAGATATTAGTAATTAAATAAAAAACATCATACACATCATTACATTCAACTTTAGAACTGAAGACAAATCTATTTTAATAAATTTAAAAATAAAATAAAATTAACTATGAACAACATCTAAATAACCCATAATTTCCTTTTTAGAAAAGTCCACTGACGGTATTTATTTGACTTTGTATCAAAGTTGAGACAGCCTATCACTTTCTTTTACATCATTTTTCGTGTAACACCCCAATTTAGGGGCTAAATTTAAGAAAATATAAATTGGTTGATTTAATTTGGTATTTTGAAAGAAATAAGGG